ATTCCTATATATTTTTTTTTTTAATATTCATAAGATATGGGTGGAGAATGAAGTTCAAACAACTGTGAATCAGTCATTTAAATTTTGTTTCTTTCTCGTCCATGGAGGGACACAGAAAGTCTGATAGTCGGGTTATACTGCCACCGGCAGGAGAACTGGACATTGGCAAACAAAATATTGTAGGACAACCCTTCCTTTACCCAGCATTCCTCTGTTTTGATAGTATCCTAGGAGGATGGACATCTTTTGTTCAGTTGCCCTGGGAAACGTCTACCCAATTTTTTTGCTAGCCTTTTATCTTCAGTTTTGTTTGAAATCACGAGAAGGAAAAAATCCAATTAAAATTCATGTACTAAACTAAAAAAAAAAAAAGTACTTCAGGATCATAAATTAATGACAAACATATTGCCAAATCGATGGGCTCAAAGCAGAAGTGTAAAAGTTGCTCTGGTTCATAAGAGATATAAAGTTGTGAGAGCTAAAGTCGGTAATCATTGAAACAGACAGTCCAGTTACTGCAAAAACAACATCTTTTAGGGATGTTTTCAATAACCGGAAGTCTAGTGTGAATGGTGAATACCTGTAAGGAAAATCTTTATCATTTTGTGTTCTTTAGGTGATAAATATTCCCAAACCTTTTCCTACTGCATTGTGCGTAACACTAAGCCTTTGTAATAATCAGCTCGCAGTTGAGATTTAGTAAAGTAAATCAAGAGCAGTGTGGAATGAACTTGTTCTTTGAAAGCCTGCTTCCTTCCATCTATCTCAGAGTAACAAAGATCCTTTTCATTCCTATTTAGCCTTCCATTCATTTGCCTCTTCATTGTACTCATGTGGCTTCCAGGCACCGCCTTCCATCTTATCCTCTTCTCTACACTCATCCTTATAGTTGTTAGGCAACAGCAAATGAGCTGGCTACACATCCACATTAGGCAGACTCATCCGCGGTCTTTTTATTCAATTCCTTTTGGATTCTGTTGAAATTCCGACATTCACTTCAGAAAGTGTCTTTTAGTTATGTGTTCGCACATAAGTAAAACATCACTGGGCCACAGTGATCCGCTTCCGTATATGAATAGTTTCGTGGTCAGAGTAGCTACTTTATACACTTTTTTCTTTTTTTTTACAAAGTTAATTTTGGATTGATTTGCTTTTTCCTGTAAAATCAATAAGGAAGCACCCTACCTAAATGCCCCCTTTACTCAGCCAAATTTGTGGTAATGTAATGGTTCCAAGTCTTCTTCCTCCTTCTGTGCACATGAGGCAGAGTCCTTCTTCAGGTGTCCATGTCACTGCCTACGCTTTGCCCAGAGATGAGCTTTAGGACTCATGCACATGGATGTACAATACTCTAGATGCGTTATTTATATGGGTGTATGCACAAATCTTCATAAAGCTATGTAATCGAAAGCTGCATTATAAAAATCTGCATCCACATTCTTGCGTAAGGAACCATAGTTTACGCTGTGTGCATGTAAATTTTTGTGCTAATGTTTACATGCATGCAATACAAATGTACTAAATTCTTGTTGCCTGCACCATGGCAATGGACACAAAGTGGCCTGGCAGGAGCTGTCTGCATCCTAACAATGGGGGACTCTACATGGCTCAAAAAGAGACGTATGCGCCCTAGCAATCAACAGGGTCAATGTAGTAAATTTGTTACAAGCATACCCCTAGCCCTTAGAGCAGGGGCGCCCACAATTTTTCGTCTGGAGATCTACTTTTCAAGTGACGAGCTCAATGAGATCTACCAACGGAAAAACACCTGCATTCAGGGGCGGGAGGGGGCGTGGCAGTGCATTGAAGTCAATAGCACAGCAGCCACGCCCCCAGTGCAATCGCCCGCACCCGGAATGCAGGCACATTAGTGCCTGTGTTTTCCGGTCCAGCGCTATCTGCAAAAATGCTGCAGATCACACTGAGGGCAGGGGACGTGGCTGTGGTGCCATTGACTTCAATGCACCGCTTGCTGTCTCCCTCCTCCCTTCTCTATCTCTCTCTCTCTCTCTCTCTCTCTCTCTCTCTCTCTCTGCTGTCTCTGCTGTCTCTGCTGTCTCCTTCTCTCACTTTCTCTGCTGTCTCTCTCCTCTCTCTGCTGTCTCTCTCCTCTCTCTCTGCTGTATTTCTTCTCTCGCTCTCGCTCTCTCTCTCGCTCTCTCTCTCTCTCTCTTCTCTCACTTTCTCTGCTGTCTCCCTCTCTCCCTCTCTCCCTCTCCCTCTCCCTCTCTCTCACTTTCTCTGCTGTCTCTCTTCTCTCTCTCTGCTGTCTTCTTCTCTCTCTCTGCTGTCTTCTCTCACTTTCTCTCCTGTCTCTCTCCTCTCTCTCTGCTGTATTTCTTCTCTCCTCTCTCTCTGCTGTCTCTTCTCTTTCTCTCTCTGCTGTCTCTTCTCTTTCTCTCTCTGCTGTCTGTCTTTTCTTACCTCCACTGCAGCAGCTTCCCAAGTCTCCTCTCTCCTTCCCGTCTGCGGCATCTGACACATGCAGCCGTACGAGCACCGCGGGTGGACAGCACCGCCGATTGCGATCTACCAGTGTGCGCTTTGCGATCTACTGGTACATCGCAATCTACCTAAAGGGGCCCCCCTGCCTTAGAGTAAACCTTTTTATTTTTGTCTGTTGAAATGTTTCCCTCAATTGTCTAGTGAAAGTGTCACCAGAAAAGCAACTGGGGTGAAATCTTTGACAGGGTGCCAGATGGCAGTGACAACCCCAAGTCTTTAAACCTTCTCTACTCTATACCTCAATTCTACACACACAAAAGGTTTTGGCTATCATAGCTGTATCTTTGTTGCAGTACTGCCGCCATCTTTTCTAATTAGAACATGTTGGTATTTTCTTGACATACCTAGTGTTTCTTTGTAAAAGGGCCACCTTTCTCAAGCTTAAACGTTGTATTATATCCGCTGGCTTGGGGGACTGTAGCTAATCTTGAACCAATGTCAAAGTAATCTTTGTATTAGAATTTTTATTCTAGTGTAACTTTTTAATAGTTTGAGGATGGAAAGGTTAGAACATCTGCTGGGTACTTATTGCTCTCTGTCCCCTTCGGAGACATTTCCCCTAGCTTCCTGTAGCAGTAATTTCTGTAATTGGAAGTGAGGTTAAATTTCCCTAGCGGAGACATACAATGAAAATCTATCAGAGGTTCTAACCCTTACCCACAAGGACTTCAGCTGGGTTAGTAATTTAAACAAAGTTTCCTATAATTATCATTATGGTTTTTACTCTACTACTTTCTTCCAGATTCACAAAGTTGAAGAGCCTCAACCTGTCCAATAATAATTTAGGAGAGTTTCCGCTTGCAGTCTGCGGTATCCCTACATTGATGGAGCTAAACCTTTCGTGCAATGCTCTTCGTGCGATACCCCCTGGAGTTGGAGACATGCAGAAGTATGTATCAGCAGTGAGCCTTCGTTGTGTTTCTTGTAGATTAGTGCTTAAGACATAATTGTGTTCCTTTAACCCCTTCATGACTGAGCTAGTTTTCAGTTTCTGTTCATAAATGACTGACACACTTTTTACATTTTTGCTGTGTGATTCTTCCACAGCAGTAATATACTTTCTTAGTTAATGTACCCACACATATTATGTATTGTTTTTTAGAGGACAGATAGGGCTATATAATTATATCACATATGTGTACCTAACCCCTCACTTAGTTTGAATAAAATAAAAAAATGAGGAAAAAAACTAGATGGAAACACTTTTTTTCAAGTTTTGATTATTATTTTTTTTTAGAATTTTTTATATTATAGTATACAAATATATTTATATATAATTTTTATTTTCCTAATTTTGTTTTACACTTTAAATTTTTTTACACTTTGTAAAAAAAAAATACTTTTTTTTTTCTTGTCAGTTTATATAAAGCAGTCACTATGACTGCTTGATAAATTAACTTTAAAAAAAAAAAAAAAATTTGGCTATTAGGCTGCTCCAAACTTAGGAACAGCTAATAATAACCTTAGAGACTGATCCTGACTTTAGTCAGATTCAGATCTCCCTAAAAGCTCTTTGATCATGCCTAGACTATCAGAACTGATACATTTCACTCAAAAGATATACATTGTATCTTTTGAGTGAAATGTATCTAAACGTCGGGCTCTCAAGCTGTCAAAACAAATAGCAAAGCGGTGAGTCACTGCGGTCCTGTATTTGCATGTAAGGCTTCATTCTTTCATTAATGAAAGTAAGAAGCTTTTACAAAAAGCTTAATTTCATTAATGAATGCCTCAATACTGAGGCGTTCATTAATGACTGGTAACTGCTGAGAATCAGCTGTTACCAGCATTACAAAGCCTGATATAACTCGTCACGTACAGTGTACGTGGCCAGTCATATAGGCACAAAGTGCCGGGACGTACACTGTACGTCTCCCATCACGGAGGGGTTAAACTGCATTTGAAAGCAGGTTTATTGTATACATTTTATGTCACTGGAGTGTTAAGTGGTAAGTTTATTTTATGCACTTTAGAATTTTGGTTTGAAGTGGAAGTTAAGCTAAGATGTTTTATCGCGAATGGCATGAGAGCACTTTTGGATAGTTATCTGGATCTTTCTTTAGTCTGTGTATTCCTTTGAATAGGATTGTGGTCATTGGGACACAAACGCAAGGTGAAATCTTCCCAACTGCAACAGACACTTCCTCTCTTCAAAATGAAAAATACATTTTAGCCTGAGTTCCACTGTAAAGACTGTAGTAGTGCCTTTGTAGTTATGCTAAAGTGCATTATATTTCATGGAAGCCAATTAGAATGTTTGATAGGTTTTGTAACCGTTTTAGAGTTTGCTGTTTTGCCACTTTACTTTGCCCAAGTGCTGGAGATATTGATCAGATTGGAATAGAAAGATTTTTTTATCATAGTTTTCCTTTTCTTTATAGTAATATGTATTTTTACATATGATAGCTTGCAGACATTCCTTCTGGATGGCAACTTCCTCCAAACACTGCCTTCAGAACTGGGGAAAATGAGCCTGCTCAGCTATCTGGGCCTGTCCTTCAATGAATTCACCGAAGTCCCTGAGGTACTGGAGAAAATTCAAGCCATGGACAAACTTTGCATGTCTGGGAATTCTCTGCAAGTGTTACAGCTCAAGACCCTGAGACGGCTTCCTCATATCAAACATGTGGATTTAAGGTATAGAATGTAGTGTAGTTTTTGATGTGTACAGTCCAATGTCTTTTCTGGAACCCTAATTTATGTTGCTGCCAGTATCTGCATTTAATATCCGGCAACCTGTGCTTGTTGGACAACAAATAGCGATTTGGAAATCATTAAACTACTGATTTTATTCCTTTGCTTACATACTACAAAGTTGTGTGCACTGCAGACTTTCTATCACCTTTTGTTTAGTACACAAGTTTATTGGATGGAAAATGGCTCCATGGACAATGTTATGCCACAGAAAATTGGAATCACGGTGTAATTATCACTGCAGTTTTCTTGGATGAGCCTTGTGCTGTGCAGCTTTAAAGTGTATTTCCACTTTTGCAGCCATATTGGGATTATACCTATTTTATGTTTGTTACCGGTTCTCCTATAAATAGCATAATGTAAAAGAAAAAAATGAAAGAAATGCTGCTTGCCTATTATGCTCTATTCTAATATTTCTCTAAAATGAATCTTCCTCCAGAATGTGAGGGGGGATGAGGAGGTTACGTTTTACCATACTTAACCCTATTTGCTGGCAGATATTGCCAGGGAGGGCACGTGGGGCCCTCTCTGCTGGCACACGAGCCCAGGTTCAGGGACCACCAACAGAAATAGATCCGACCGACCCGGATCGCCTCAGTACCCGATCCGGGCCAGTCACAATCAGGCAGCTGCCTCTAAACAGGCAGATTAGACTAATCTGCCTGTTTAGAGGTCACCGCCGCTGCC